TAGTGAGAGGGAAGAGTGGAAAAACAACACGTGACTAAAATCACGTCTTTAAAAATGTGATTGAAGGTAAAGGTCACGTGACAGGGAAAAGAGCAAAAAAGAGAATATTATATATATTATATATAATATTTTATATCTATATATAATACACATACATACACACACATATACACACATATATATATATATATATATACCGTAATCACGTGACCGAGGTCAGTGACCTCGCTCAGGCCGCGCGGTCGAGGTCAGTGCCCCGCCAAGGCCGCGCGGCCGAGGTCAATGCCCCGCCAAGGCCGCGCGGCCGAGGTCAGTGACCCCACCAAGGCCGCGCGGCGGAGGTCAGTGACATTACTGTAGTATGTATATAATACATATAATACAATATAAAGTATATAATAATATAAATATATAATAAATTATATGTATATAATATGTATTATTTAATGTTATATATAATATAAATTACAGTCACGTTATTTTCACGTGTTCGTTTTCTACTCTTTCCTGTCACGTGACTTTAGTTACGTTTTTAATTTTCTCTACATATACGACGAACTGTCTCAAAATCGCTTTTCATTATTTACTCTCTCGATCTTACCGATTCGATTCGACTCGATCAACCAACCAACCAATCGGCAACGCGGAAAAGAGGCAACAATAGATGCGATACATTCGGCTCCAAAACGCGCACTTCTCGGTCCAAATGGACTTTTTTTTATACAGGATGAGAGATAAAATTGAACACCGACTTCGAATTACAATTGATACTTTCGTGCGAAACGATTTAATTGTTCGAAAAAAAAAAACTTTACGCGCCGATTGTTCAAACGAGCAATTTGTTCTATTTTCGACGCGATTATTTTCCCTCTTGCACATCCGGGGAATGTGTTTCCAACATACGGCAGCCGCATACACGATGATGCGCTCTTTTCTCTTCTCGTCACTCGCAGTCGTCGTCGTTTTCTTTCGCGCATCATCGTGAGTCGTCTAACCGCATCAGTTCTACATCTCGCGCACGCATACGCGATACGTAATTTGCCGATCGACGAAACCGCGCGAGGAAAATCGCACAAATTGCCTGAATTTCCTTTATCTTTGTGATACATTTTGCGGAACCGACAGAATACTAGTTGCGATAGAATTTCTCTCTTTTGTTTTTATTTTCCCCTCGAGTCCTTTCTTCTCTCAGATTTTTCTATCCGCGACCGTTTCGAATGTTGCCTCATACATCTCGAAATATCGCTCGTCTCGTGCTTTGTTCTCTTTTTTTTTTTTTTTTACGAAACGTCGACGTGTCATTACGCCACAGTTTTGATGTAATTCTATGAAATCTTCACGGTCGCGTTCGAGCGCGGGTCGCTCATTTCACCGGACATGTAAAATAATATAAATTTAACGTCACATTCTCTTTTTCTCTCTCTCTCTCCGCGCACAAATCCACATCCACTATAGTAATTTTCTATCCGCAGACGGCGGTAATCTGCATGCCTTTTCAACGCCCGGCGAAGAAAATGCACATGTCTGAGCCGGATGCGTGGGTTACGCGTCCCTGACCTAGGACGTCTCGATTTTCTAGAGCTTAAAAGAGAACGACGATCGAGAAATGCAGCCAAGTCTCGCGTTTCTAAAGCGGAACTGCTCGATAATTCGCTGACGACTTGTCGATTTTATTTTTATTCCGCAAACTGGATTTGATTTTATTCCGGAGAGAAAAGAAACTAGAGAGAAAACACATTTACGTGGCAGCAAGAGCAATGTAATTCCGGAATCGATAGAGAGATCGTTGATCTTGCGCACACTCTAAACTCTACTCTGGCTATAAATCGAACCTTCGGCTAACAATTAACATCCCCGATATCCTTCCCGCGCTCATCGATATTCAGAACCCGTTGCGGGCGGGATACATCCGAGCGCAATGCACGGACAAAGTCGGAACATCACGTACACGCCGCGGAACACACAATCGCACGCGGATACACCGTATTTACATCCCGGATAAGACTATCGGTTGTCGGGGAAACGTGCCGGCGCGGCTCTACGAAAACGTACGATAAGAAGCGGAGGAAGGAAACAACGTACGAGAGGAGAGAAAAAAAAGAAGAGCTGGGTGCTGGCGAGTAGAGCAAAAAAGAACGTGGAAACGCGCAGAGATACACACGCGGCCGGTGTTTAAAATCGAACGGAAATCCAGCTCTGAAATCTCCGCGTAACTCCGCGTATCCACTAATAATAGAGCCAGATACCGAGGGATAGAAATACGACTTCCTCCCTTCGGCGTCCCGCGCGTACCCCGCGTCCCAAAAATAACGGACGAACGTTCGACACGCTCATCGGCGAAAAAGGGAAGCAAAAGCCGGGAAGAGAGAGCCGTGGCGCGCGTGGCGAGCGACTCGTAATCCAAATCGAACAGCGGACCGTCTCACACATCATGTAGAACACGTGTTCCTTCTATCCCTCGCGATAAGTTAACTGACCTATGAGTTTGTGTGTACATGTACCGCGCGATACCGTGGGGTCGCGACCCGGAAGTCGTGTGAACTCGTCCCCTCAAAACGCGTCACCGCGATTCCGAGACCGGGGGAAAGGAAGATCGGAGAGTCCGGACGAATCGAAATAACACATTTTAGTTTTTGCGGCGCGTATTTTTATATACGACGCGCGTCGATTCAAGAAAGATGCAAAAAAAAAAAAAAATTGCATCCCGTGTGTATATCTCTACTCCTCGTTATTTACACAACAACGTAACGTTGTAAAAATCACTTCCGATCTCTCGTGCGGTCGGAGCTCTGCAAATTACCAGCTCTGTTTGAAGTGCGCGATATTTAGCGTGCACTTTTTTTTATCTCTTCGCGACGCGAGCGCGTGTGCGGCTTCGCCGCGTATTTGCTCGGTTTCGATCGAGCAAACAGGGAAACAGGCAAGGTTCGAGCGAGCGCGCGCCGCGGGTCAAGGGGTCGATACCGGGTGCGGGTCTGCGGACGGTGTCGCGATCCGCAGTACGGCTGCATTCGTCGGATACTCACCGCTATTGATTATCGCGCACGCGTTCAAGTAGCGTCTGTGTAGTATAACGACGTGTCTGAGCACGGTGGTGCATATGTGACATCACGTGTGTTGAGGAAATGCACAGTTACATATAGATACAGACCGGTTTGCACTATCGAGCGCTTATTAAAGTTAGAGACGTAACAGAATTGCACCTCGTACGATTCTAATATCGTGCGGTAAATACGAGCGATGTAGCTCGCAGCGATACGCTTTTACCGTGGTATGATTTAATTTCGCATTCTATTCTCGACTCGTGACGTGTATTATAACGTTTGAAACGCACTCGCCGCCCGATCGTTCGCAATAACCGCACATGATTGTGTAAGATCGATCGCGATTGTGTATCGGAGATAAACACGCGCACCGTCTCTCTCCGCATTCGTTTTACTCCACCTGTTATATATCGCCACCGACGTAAATTAATTTTTATCCATCGATTACGCGATCGCAAGTATATTTCTTCCCGCGCGAGACGAGAGCTCGATCGAATGCTTCGATTCTTTTTTTTCGACTTTATCTTTTCAAGTTTTGCTTTGCTTGCCGAAAGTTAAATATCACATGCGATAAATAAAGATGATATTAAGAAAAAATGTCGACACACGTGCTGAGACGCCTGTCAGCGTTAAGACGAGGCTCGATAGCTCGAAGAAATTGCATACGTGATAAATGACACAATCCGCGACACATCCGGTGTAATAAATCGCACATGGTAATCGCGCGCGCGCGCGCGAAAGACCGTGTGAATTCTGCCTCTCGCGGGGCCATGAAAATTAATTTACGCAAGAGCGATTAATAGCGCTGCTTTACGAATCCGTCGCTCGATATTAACCTCCGCGCCGACCCGCCGGTCGCTCGTCTTGCTCCGACTGACGGCGATAATAGCGTCATGTTCCGCGACGAAAGCGGGAGTCGTCTCTCTATCGAATCGCACGCTACCGATCGGCGCAAACGACCGTAAAGCGGAATCCTAACGGAGGCGTTAGGATCGGTCGTTTCGGCGCGGCGGCGAATGGCGCGGAACGAGTTAAAGGAGAATTAATGGCGGAGAAACGTCGACCAGTAGAGACTCCCGGACAGTCGCGGATACAGCCGCCCGATCCTCCTCCTCTTCTCTCCGAGACGATTTTTCCGACGACCCACCGAGCGAGAATCTTTTCGCACAAGCGAGTCCGTATCCTCGGCGCAATCTCGTCGCGCCGTGGCGCACGCCGGGGTGAAAGTTACTCGCCGCGGAGAATAAACATCGCGAATAACGATTGCGATAAAACCCAACGAGCTGACCAACATCCCATTTGCGCGCGACCGGTCGTATCGCTTATTCGGTTTTCTTCGCATTAATATTGGTTCGTTTCCGTGTTCTGCCGACTTAAACCGAACTCATCCGCGTGAGAAATGATCAAAATGAGTTTCATAGCGATGATTGGTCAAACTTTTACCGCGACTTTTACACGACTTTATGATATCAAATATTTTAACGACTATGAACCAGGAATTAAAATTCTATTACGTAAACAATATTTATCGGATAGATTACGAAAATGTAATATTTAGCTTCGCGTATGAGAAAACTTGATCGTTATAATATCTTCTCGTTTAATGAGACAGATGCTTCGTCGGCGTTTAAAGTTGCAGATTTAATTTTTTTTTTAATCAAATAAAAACTAATCAAAATTGATGTTTTAAATCATTGCGTGGAAATCTCTAGGAATATACATGAGTACAAGTACGTATGTATGAAGTTGCTCAGGAATACATCCTGTGTGTGTACACGCGAATCATCCGGACAGGGGCGGCGACCCCGCACGGGCGCGATCCTTTGTCAAAGTCCCTTAATCATAGCCTCATTTCTCAAACGAAATCTCCCGCGGATCTCCGAGCGTGGAGTACGTGGCGTGACGAACGACTCAATTATTGTCCGATGCGCAACCCCTCGGGGGGACTTCACTTACCTCTTCCACGAGAGATCTCTGCATATTGGTCCAGCACAGTTTGCACGGACACACGTCCTTACTCGTCTCCTTCGGGTTCTCATTCCGTTCGCGGTCCCCGCGTGCGTTACTCGCGGCCTGCGGCGGTGGCGGCGGCACAGGCGGCGGCAGCGGACTCGTGGCGACTTCGAGGCTGTCCGAGCTCGAGTTGTGGCGTCGCGGCGGCGTGATGTTGCTGCCGACGTTCGTCTGCTGCTGGCAGATCGCCTGCCTGACCTCGCACGACCTGCCGTGCTCGTTGGCGCACTTGACAGCGTGCGACGGGGACATGTACAGGTTCAGCATGCACTTGTTGCTGCTACTCGGCTGCTGCGGCTGCGGTCGCAGGAAATCGTCCAGCAAATAAAAGCTCTGCGCGCGGCTCGATCGGGTGGTGGAGGAAGTCGTGCCGCGAGTCTCCACGGTGCTGTGTTCCGTGGCTCTGCAAAACTCCCGATTGCTTCTGCACTGATCGGAGTCGTCCAGATGATGTCGAGTACGTTGCGCAATATGTCTCTGATCGTCGAGTTCCCGGTCAATTGTCGACTCGGTGTCCTGGTACAATCGACGACTGACCTTCGACCTGCCGATAGCCTGGCCGAACTCGCCGTTCTCTCGATAAACATCTCTGCTGACTCGGGAGACTCGCGCCGAGTAGGATGTCGGTTGCTGATAGCGCGTCTTACAACTCGAGCCGCGCGATTCCTCGCGGAAGTGATCGCCCTCGATCATGGACACGCTCATGTTGTGCGAGAGAGAATTCTGGCTGGTGTGGGAGCTGCTCGCGCCGTTGCTTCCAGTAGGAGCCCTTAAAAGTGCACCGAGAGACCGCCACTTCCGATCCTGTTGGCTCGTCGACGTGGACGAGACCGAGGTTCTGTTCCACTTCCTCTCGTTCGACGGTGACGTAAGCAAGCTGTTGCCTACAGACCACTTCCGCTCGTTCGTGGGCGACGTCATCGAGGACGGCCACTTTCTCTCGTTCGATGGCGACGCCATCGACGTACTGGACCATTTCCGTTCCGAGGACGGAGCGCTGATGGAGGCGCTGGCATTGCTGGTAGCGTTTAGCTGGTCTTCTCGATGTCGGGTCGTCTTCCACCAGGACGACGTTGAGGTAAAGAGTACCAACGCCCCTCGTAAAGGATTCTGATTCTTGCTCGTACCTTTCGGCGAGAGGTCGCGATCTTTGACCTTCAACGAGCAGTCTCTATAGTTGGAGTCGCATTCGCGGTCGCTGAACGCGGCGGCATCGCGCTGCTCCCTCAGGGCGCTCTTCGCGGCCGCCACCTCCTCTTCATGGTACAAGGTCGCGTTCGTGCTGCGCAATCGCGGCCGGATCCTCACGAAGCCATAATCGTTGCCGTCCTGTACTATAGGATCAAGCGGCTCGCGGGAGTGCTGCTGATGATGCTGCAACAGGGCGCTATGCTTGGCCGTCGCCGCTGCCGCCGCCGCCGCCGCCGCCTGGCTGCTGGACGTATACTGATAGTGACCGTTGCTCAGCTGCAAACTCGGTTGTTGCAGCAGTGTCGAGGTCCTCGCGCGATGACCCTCGCCGGCGGTGCCGCGTTGCAAGCACGAGAAGCTCGCCGAGTGCCGCAAGCTCGAGGGCGTGTTGCCCGGCTGACTCACGCCCAACATGTCGCCACCTTTTATTTTCAGTCTTTGATCTCGAGCGAGAACAAATGTGTGTTTGTGCGTTCGTGTGCGTTTGTGTGTAACGTATGTTAAATGTATGACGAAGGCAGGGCTGACACGAGGGGGCAGGTAAAAGGCAGTTAGCGAGGAGAGCGAAAGCTAAGATCGACGAAGGAACGGTTCAGCGGACGGAGAGCGGAGCGATCTAGCTCGTCATTACTTCTGGCAGTGTTTTTATCAGTCTCCGACGTCCTGCGATAACATCCGGCGCGCGAGGAAGCGAAGAGGATTATCTCCCTGTACTTCTTCTGCTCCTAAGACCTGCTTCTCCCTCGGTCGATTCCTCTTCCGTGTATCGCGCGCATCATCATCTTGTCTTGATTTGAGACTCGTTCGGTTCACTCTCTGTTTGTCGAAAAGCCATCGGCTACATCCCCCGTCGCTATCTCGGACGTCTTTTCCTTTCTCTCTCTTTCTCTCTTTCTCTTTCCCTTTCTCTCTTTCTCTCTTTCTCTTTCTCTCTCTTTCTTTTTCTCTTTCTCGTTACTTACACGTCGTACGTTATCTGTAACAGAAAGTAGGAACAGGGTAGGGAGCGGCAACTCAAAAGAAAAATGGCTGCGATGAAACGAAGCGTCGATCGGTGGCGTGTTTGTGAAAAATCAAAGTGCTCGATGAGGCGAACTGGGGGTGGGCGATACTGCGGGGGGCAGGGAGAGAGGTAGATAGCAAATGGACGAAAAGATAAACAAGGGAGGGGAAGTTGTTTCGTCATAGTTTTCGCGTGATACGTGGGTGAGCGCGCGACGGGTGGTGAGACGATTTCCCGAGGTCGGTTTGTCGAAAGCGGAGTCGCGCGAAGCCGATTCGCCGATGAGATCGGTGAAGGATGAAGGTCGTTCTGCGGCCAGAGGCAAGGTATCGGGATGTCTATCGAGGTATTTTCTATGAAAGTTCGCCGTGTTTCTACGACAATGCACACGCAAGCGACGAGGTGGAACACGCGCGCGTGCGCTTGCTCTTGGGTTCTTTTCTCGGAAATATGAGTGGAACTCCGGGCAGAAATATCACGCTGGATGCGTTCCATGTGTGATTACAGTGAAGATAAATTTAACGTCGAGATGCGAAGTACCAGACTCGAATAAAATGTACTGGCGAAAACATTGTGCAGAGAGAAGCGGTTCTTAAAATAATAGGTATGTTTAAAAATGAGAAATAAAATCTAAGCGTTTTATAAAAATGCGCGCGCGCAAATGTTGTCGATGCGATTCCACTTGACATTTATTAACTGCCAGCAGACCATATTCGCGCTCGCATATTCGTTTTTATACCTCGCAAAAATATTTAACATGCGATCATAAAAACATCGTGTCACCTATATTCGTCATAAAAAAAATATATATATTCCGTGAAATTATAGATGCAAATGAGGACGAATAAAAGTACAGAATCAGAGCATGTTGTTCGAAAATGCAAATAACACTTCGTATCGCGCTTGAATATGTTGTTGCTCGATTATGTATTTCGCAAAATTTTACGCTGGGAAGTTACAACACACACGTTGGAACAAATATTATAACGGAAATTATTGCCGGTGAACCGTGTTTAATGGAAATGTAAAAGTGATTATTGAAACACGATTGTTCGAAGTTCTGATGCGATGAATGAAGCCAATGATGCGCCAGCGCATGCTTTCGTCAAACGCGAAATCGATGCAACCTATTAAAAAGAAGCTCAGGAACGGAGTTGGGAAAACAGGAGCCGAGAATTGCGGTATTTTCAATCTTGTTGCGGATAAAAAAGGGGAAGGAAAGAAAAATTCTCTCTTTCAACATTAACGATATTACGCATTTCTTTCTCAAAAGCTTTTGCGCGTTAATTGTTTCCTAATTAACGTAATTTGAATTGTTGACGTGATTAACATTCGTGAGGAATGCGTCTGATGATTTCCTAAAAGAAGGAAACTTCACAACTTGACAGTTTTAAAGCAACGTCGCTCTCTCAAAAGATCTGTCTGAAAGTGAAGAAAGAAGTGCAAACAGCGCAAAACTTTCGACGCTTGGTCGATGGCATCTTTTCGCAAAGTTACTGGGACAAACCGCCGAGAAGACGCCATCGTTCATTATCGTGAGGCTTACATAGGTCAATCTCGAGTGTTAATTAAGGCTTTGTCGCAAGACGAGCTGTGTCAGCAGCTTCGTGTCGATATATAGACGTCAAGTTGTCACACGAAGTATATTATTCAAGAAAAAACGAAATCTCGCGATTCTCGTGTGTAAATTTTTCAGAATATAGTAATTAAATCGATGTCGCACACCATCCGCGACACATCGCGTGCGCGCGCGCACACAGAACGCGATCGGAACAAAGCGATTCGTTCGATCTCCGCACGAAACGAGTGTTACATAGCGCGCTATGCGCAGGATATTTCTTTGACTTTACAGCGCGTGCGAGACCGCGTCTACTGCGCGTCTGTATGCATATACGTAGGTGCGCAAAACAGTGAAAGGATTTTCAAGGCGGGAAAGCTGAGTGACACCCACACATCGACAACGACGACTACGACGACGACGACGACGACGACGTGCGCGATGCGAAAAGGCAAGGCCGTTCGCGCGGATAAAAGTTCGCGCGCTCCTTGCGAAACCCCCTCGAGTCGCCGCCGAACGACTGTCGCAATAATGACAACGGTAATGGAACACATAACCGGGAATCGCGTCACGAAGAAAACCAGCACCGTCAATTACGTGTGTATTGCTATATCGAATCTTTGCCGATCGGTCGTTTTTCCGCGCGTCAGATTGAGTTACCCAAGCCGCGCGCTCTCTCTTTCTCTCTCTCTCTCCCTCGTTCCTTTCCACAGGATCCTTTCCTTTAACGTAACTCGTCCTTGAGTATTTCTCGGGCACCTCATTTGAGCGAATCGCATCGCGGGAATTTGTTTATAGACCGTGTGTGTAACATACAATTTATTTCAACGCTCGGCGCGTGTGCGCAATCGTCACGTAATAAACTTTCATCTTTATCCGCACGCGCAAACTTCGATAAATGCGTAAACACGATACGCAACACACGCCGTGTGCGTTCTTGGATATTCGAATGTGAATATTTAATTGCGCGACGCCCCGGTTAAGCGCACGCGCGCGCGTTTGAATCGGTATTTTACGACCGCATTCCGTGCCCGCGCGCGGGATGCAAAACGACGTCGTTCGCGCGCGCTCTCTCGTTGCGCGAGAACGTTCTCGCGAAAGCACCGCCCGGTCAATTAGCTCGACGATTTGACCGTGTCGCTTTTAAGCGGACGGGTATACGCACGCGTACATCATCCTAGAAAATCATCCGCGAGAGCCGCGTGGCATTTAGGGCATAAAGTCATCGCGCGCGGAAGATGAATCTAATTAGAATATAAAAGCAATGTGTTTTAATAATGAAGATACCGCACGCATATCGCATTATTACGTAAAAAAAAAAACGCGATCTTTTCTCACGTAAGTATGTAAAATGCAACAAAGTCGTTCGCGATGCAATACAACTTTTATGTAAAAGTTTTATGAAACTCGATTGTCCATGTTATCGCGGTGACACGCAAAACCTTTCGAATCGTCGCTAAAAAAATAACTTGATATTAATATTTCGTGGTCTTCCAGACCCACTCAAAATTGCGCATCGGCTCTAGTAAAAATTAGTTTTTTCTTAAACACTTATAATCGAAACTAATTACTAGAGATTTTTTCAATTTCTTTTTTTGTTTTTTTTTTTTTTGTTTTTTTTTTTTGGTTTTTTTTCTTATGACGCAAATCAAACTTTTTTTGCGGAAATATTAGATTTTAAGGTGTCGCATAGGTCTCACAGACCCACTCAGTCCAACACTAGTCGTCATTTTTGAAAGTCAGTCCGCGAAGAGTTAAAAATTCATCGAGGGGATCTGCGGTTAAAATCATAACTCGTTAATGGCGGTGGAAAAACAGACACTCTGCGTGCGTATCGATTGTTCGTTTGTCGTATACGCGAAACTCTCACCTCGCATTGTTCGCGTGCGCGCGCGCGACTCGAGACCGGACGACCGCTTCACGCCACGAGAGAACGCGCGCAGACACGTAATCCGCCACTGCGCATTTGCGCTCTGGATACCGCGAGTCAACCTGGTTAACGTAATTGGCTGGAATCTTCGGCCGTAACTAATTACGGGCCCGGCATATATAATAAGCGCGCTCGGGCGCGGCGCCGCGACTTGCCTAAGATTTCGTGTTGCGAAAGAAATTTGAAAGCTCTTCCTCGCGGCATTATCGTCCCCCGATTAATTTTGAAAGGCATCGCGGAGTTGCGCGATAGCGACAGGAAAAATTATATTCCCGAGCGCGCGATCTCTTACAACAAATCCGAGAAATCCGGGGGGTTTGCCCAATTCCACTTTCTCGAAGCAAATTGCGTTGTGTTAAAAAAATAAAAAATCAAGGAATATATATATATATATATATAATCCCATAATGCAGCTGAACAACAAAGAGTTATAAAATTCCGAGTTACGGTGAGATCATAGATAGACGCGGTAATTTATATCACACAAAGATCGATAGTTAACAATCAATTCGATATATCTTTAGAACGTTCTATCCTTGCAGCGGAGAAAGGATACCGAAGTTACCATAGCGACCAGTCACGACGTAACAACACGCTATTAAAATGTATATATGTATGTATGTTCACTTCGTTACTTTTTTTAGTACGCAATTAAGACGGGATTATTTGCCGGTGAGTCAGTAGCTTTTAGTCTGCACGAGGAAAGTTCTCTCGACCGCGCGCAATAACGCGTCCGGGATTCAATCCGCGCTTCCATTCGGAATCTCTTTCGAGATTAGCAACACAGGCTTTGACATCGTTCCGTACCCTCGTTCGCGTTCGGGATTTGCGCAGTCGGGGCGTAACGTGATTTTACTAGCCAGAAGAGATTTCCGTCGAATACACACACACACACATCAAGCTCCGCAAGATCAGCGCGTCTGCTTGCGGACGTGCTAAAACCGCGTTTGTCAATTCCACGCAGAAGTGTTATGACATGTCGGTTTCGCGCCCGAGCGAATTGTTTTTCTTCGTCGATGTGTCGATGTGTGCGCGACGACGCGTCTGACTTAACATTCCTCTTCGCTCTGCGCACGCAGAAGTAGATACGATTCTAATCGTATCTACTTCTAAAAATTTTACAACAATCGTGCGAACCTCTCGCCATTCGTCGAGAACGAAATAGTTTAGTTCTAATTTTCGAGACAAACTCTTCCATAAGAAATTTTATGTACCAGTATATTTAACAATGAAATAATTATTTAACAATGAAAAATTTCAATACCGAGACAGAGAGTCGCTCGGAGAGAGCTTTGGTATAATCGCGCACAAGTCTTCCTACATTTATCCTGCAATAACTTTCCTCCGTTGATTATTCGGCGACATAAAACCGTCTTGGTATTCGACTCGATGCAAATTAAAAGCGACATAAAGAGACAGATGCCGCATACATATATATATATATATATCTCGAACGACTCGTAAGTGAAGCGCGCGACACACGCG